AGCAAAGATGTAATCCGGTTACAGGGCCAGGCCTAGGACGCCTCAGCTCCCCTTGAGATGGGGGAGACTGGGCCCTTAAATCCCAGCCCCTTGCTTAGGCTGCTTTCTCCATGATTCCAGACAGAAACTAAAACTCTCTTCCAGCTCTGCCCCCCAGCCAGGTGCTGGTCTCCGCCCTCCTTCCTTTGTCTCCCTCCCTGGGAGGCTGAGTCTGGGTGTCTGCGTTAATACACATTTGGAAGAGTCAATGAGAATCTCCCATCACAGCACAGGGGGCCCCGGGGTCACAGAGCAGACAGCACCCCCACTATGCCACAATCATAATAATCATTTACTTTATGTATGTCTTAAGTAAAATAGTAGCATTCAGATATGGCGATTTCTGACATTTTGCAGCTCTTAATATCAAAATAAAGATGGTTATCAGTATTATATTTGCAAATCAGAATATGCTACAAAGCAGTGCAGTTATTTTATTGGCTATTGTATGTCCTTCAGTAAATGTCACAAATCCACGAGATGTCCCTGAGCACTGCATTTGAAACTTGGGTCTCAAGTCCAGTTTGTTAAAAGTATAAAATGTCAGTTACTTGGGCAGCTCTCTACTGCTTGCACCTCAGACTATGCTCAAGACCCTAAAATGTCCCACCAGCAGTAAGGATCCAAAATGTAGTACATTCAACAAACTGGCTCAGCATACACCTGATTCAGGGCTTTGATACTTGGGGCATGGCACCAATTTAATTTAAAATGTGATTTCCAAATGATTTTCTTTACTGAAAAAGGCCGCCTGGCATGTTATGGCAGTTTCAATCCTGCTTCTTTCAGTCTGGTTTAAGTCGATTAGGAACTGGTTCAAGCTAAACCAAGATAAGTCACAAAATGAAGTCAGAATGTGTCCACACAGGGGGTTGCGCAGACAAGTTCAACCAAACTGGTTTAAGCGAAGCAGTTTACGCAGCTAGGTTGAAATTTGTATCTGGATGATCCGGGCAGAGCGAATCCAAATAGTGCGTCTCCCCCTTGCTTGCGGGTGCGTCCGAGGGTAGAATGTGAACCTGAGTGTTCTGCTAAGCGCATCTGCTTTTGTTCGGCCACTTCTCTCTTGATGGGGCTCCCTCTGCTCTTCCTTCGGAGCCACTGCGGAACAGCGAGGCGCAGCAGCGAGGCAGGTGGTAACTGCGTCTGGATTCAGGCTGGGGACTATTAGCGCTTTCCAAGCCTCGGAGGGTCACTGCAATGCGCCCCAGCTGGTGCCAACGGGAGAGATCCCCGAGCCCTGTTCACGTTACAAACCAAATTCGTTTGGTAAAGCCCGGCCCTTCCCAAAACCCCCGGAGCGAAGTAGCACCATCGGGGCTCTGGGTTTGGAGCTGTAAAAGACTGCGTTCCCTGGAGCAGCCGGAGCACCCACAAACTGACAGCCACGCGTGGTCCTGTGCTCCCAATCCTGGTCTCCCGCGCCCCCCTGGAACCAGGATTTGGTCCCCTTACGGGTGCATACGAGGGATGCTCAAGCCGGGAAGCTTCTGTCTGATCTCTTCGGATATCCTAGAGAAACGACGAAAGGGGGACTCGGATATTGGGCCGAACATTTGCCTTCAGGCCCAGGGACTGCGCCGCCCCAAACCTTCTGCTCTCACCGCTCAGTCCTGGCAGGCGGGACTGGGCTACGCTAAGGCGCGGGGTAGGGAGTTGGGTTCGAATCCCCCCTGCTCTCCAGACCCCAGAAGAAAGCTCTGCGTGTCCTCGGTTATGGTGCGCACATGTCCTGGCTTTCCATTGGGCAGGAAAGGTGTAAGCGCTGGAGTGGGGATGTCAAGGCAGGACTCCTCGCCGTGTGCTGATGGTACGGTCGGCCTGGCGAAGAAAAGTTTCCCTGGAGTCCATTGCGTTTCTGAAGTCACACGATCTGCTCTCCAGACCCCAGAAGAAAGCTCTGCGTGTCCTCGGTTATGGTGCGCACATGTCCTGGCTTTCCATTGGGCAGGAAAGGTGTAAGCGCTGGAGTGGGGATGTCAAGGCAGGACTCCTCGCCGTGTGCTGATGGTACGGTCGGCCTGGCGAAGAAAAGTTTCCCTGGAGTCCATTGCGTTTCTGAAGTCACACGATATCGATTAGACCAACCTCCCTGCCCTCCCCCCCCCCCCCCACAACAG